TAGGACCAAATTTGGAGCAATGAGGTCCAAGGATTTGAACAAAAAAAGTACACCTAAAAGTTTTAAGGGGAATAGTGAATAAGTCATTTTCTGGAGGTTGAATGGTGTTTTCATGTCTAGAACCCGTGAAGGAATTCGATTAATAAGGTAAACAACAGTACGGATTGCATCCCCCCAGAAGCATACAGGAACATTAGAGTTGAGCATGATGCTTCTGGCTACTTCCAAAATATGTTTGTTTTTTCTCTCAGCAACCCCATTCTGCTAAGGTGTACGGGGACAAGTGCTATGATGAATAACTCCATGATGTAGGAGATATGATGCCAAGGGTTTTGCAAAGTATTCCTTGGTATTACCAAATCTGAGAGTTTTGATCTTGATTTCAAATTGGGTCAGTACCATCTGATGGAAAGCTTGGGTTAGAGAAGGGACCTCATCTCGAGAGTGCATAAGGTAAACCCACGAGAAATGGGTATAATCATCAACAAATAACAAGAAGTATTTGTAACCCCCCATAGCAGGAATATGATATGGCCCCCAAACATCTGTATGCACAATTTCAAAAGGAATATTGCTTCTTTTATTGTTCAAAGAATAAGTTGATCTATAATGTTTTGCAAGTTCACAGCTTTCACACCTCAAACTAGACACTTGGACTGACTCAAACAAATTTGGAAATAGACTCTTCAAAAACCCAAAAGACAAATGACTTAATATGTTATGCCAAAGCATAATCTGACCCAAAGACTGAGAAACAAACAATCTCCCAACTTCACTCTCCTTCCCCTATGGATGCTCAAGCAGGTAGACTCCATTCGTCTCACGGCCAATCCCAATCACCTTCCTCGTTTCCAGATCCTAAAAAACACAACGGTCAGGAAAAAAGGTCACTGAATAGTTTTGATTCTTAGTAATACTACTAACTGAAAGCAAGCTAGCACTAAGCTTAGGGACATGCAAAACCTAGGGCAAGGAGATGGCATCAGACAGTCTGATGTCTCCCTTGCCAGAAATAGGTACAAGAAAGCCATCAACAATAGATACTTTGTCTCTGCCAAAGGATAAACAATAGGTGGTAAAAAATGTGGACAAACTAGTCATAGGGTCAGAAGCACCTGAATCTATTACCCAAAAGGGTCTAGTGTTACCTGGGGCTAAAGTATGATATGTTGTAGCTCTTGTACCCGAGGAAGCAAAGGCTGAAGTAGGATTGGTAGGAGTAGTAGTTGAAGGCTGAGATGATGACCCAAAAATACCAGTTTCATTCTCTAATTGTGTCAAAGCAGCCCGGACAGCAGCTAAGGCATCTAGAGATGTGGTTCTTGTATTGAAAGACGATGCATTGTCAGTGGTGGCTGCCACATTAGCATTTCCCCTCTTATTTTTTAGTCTAGTTGGAACAAGATGAGGGTGCAACTTCCAACAAGTGTCCCTAGTATGTTTCGGCTTCTTACAATGATCACAAAATATCTCCTTTTTATCTTCCTTCTTTATTTCCAGCTTCATTTCCTTTTCCTTATCTCTCCCAAATTTTTGTTTTGTTGCTACTAGGGTTGATTCCATGGGCTGAAACTGTAACATCACCTTTCTCCTACTCTCTTCACTGTACACTAGTGAATAGGCCTGAGACAATGTCACACTCTCCCTGGTAAGTAGTTGTTGTCTTACAATGTCAAATTATTAATTCAGACCTGCTAGGAACTCAAAAACTCTGTTTGTTTCAATCAGCTTGCTATAAGTAGTTGCATCTCTTTGACTCTCCCATTCAATGGTTTCCAAATGGTCAATTTCATGCCAGAGAGATTTCAAAGTGGCAAAGTAAACGGAGACTGGCTTCTCCCCCTACTTGAGATTACTCACTTCACACTTCAGTTCATAAGCCCTAGCAACATTAAGGGGTTGGGAGTAGGTCTCTCATATTATCCCAAATTTCCTTAACTGTTTTTGCCCATAAATAATTTCAGCTAATGTGGGACTACATTGAATTGCACAGCCATGTCATCACCAAATAGTTCTCTTGAACCCATTTGGCATGTGATGTGTCTTCCTTGGCTGGTTTCTCTATATCCCCAGTCACATAGCCTAATTTGCCTCTACCTCCAATAGCCATCACGGCTGATTGGGCCCACTCCAAGTAATTTGTTCCATAAACCTAACAGTTGTAATCTGAAAAGAACTTTTAGTCAAGCTTCCAGCCCCCAACAGACCTTCCCCTTGAGTCTTTAATTCACTTCCAACCTTCTCCATTTTAAAGAAAATGTTAACAGTCACTACTTCAAACAAAATGGGCTTGAACTCCTTTTATGCAAAAGAAACTTCCTTTTATGCAAAAAGGACTCTTCTGATTCAGAAATCACTCACAGTGAGGACTTCTCATTTAGAAATCAGTCACAGCCGAGAATCACCACCAAGAAACACTTCTCAGTCAAGAATAATCACCCAGAAACCAATTTCAGATTACTAATCACTTCCAAGAAACACTCCTCAGTCGAGAATAATCACCCAGAAACCAAATTCAGATTACTATAGTTGTCCAAGAATCAACCACAGTCACAGAACAATTCTGGGAGCAAGAACTGACCATGGGGTTTCAAAAAACCTAGAGAAAATAACAAGGATAACAGAGATCTGTCAAAAAACCCTAAAGAAACAAGCAAGGGAGACAGAAATCTGTTAACCACAGCTTCCAAAGAGGTTTAAACTGTTCTTTTTAAAGGTCGGTCTTAATAAAGATAAGTTCTTTTGCAAAAAAAAGGTTGATCGCCACCTTCGATCTCCAGTTTAAACCCTAATCTTTGACTTACCTAACTTCTCTGATCCTTCCTGGTCACCAGGCACTCTCCAAAGGTCATGCAATCCCTTGGGCACAACTCAAGACTCCAGTGATCCTCCAAGAATCAGGCGATGATGCAAAGCTTCAGATTCAGTAAGTTCTCATGTTGCCAACTGGATTAGGCTCACATGAGAGCCCTAAACTGTCCAAGTTTTGGCTCTGATACCAACTTGAATACAATAAAATCAGAAAATAGTTGTTTTCTGGTTCAATTTAGTAGAAAAGTGAAAAAAGAAAGGTCACGAATAGAAGAAGAGAGAGAAGAGAAGAAGAGAAGAAGAAAGAGAGAAGAAAGGGTTCAGCTGAATTAATTTTCTAGCTGCCCACTAAATCTTATTTAAATTGTGATGTTTACAATGACTGTAGTTACTTTAATACCCTTACTTAAAAATAAAAGAAAACAAACAAGGCCCAACTGGCCCAACTACCATAACTGAAAAGTAAATAAATAAACAGCAAATATAAAGTGTGGAGCTGGAACCCCACACATACTAATAGTCTATCAGCTATCTCTACAGACCTCAATAACAAGACACCCTAACAGTCCACTAACGAAAACATAATTAACTAGTAAAATAATAAAATAACAGGCCCAGTAAACACGATAGAATATAAGCCAACATATTAAGAGGAATTAAATTCCATTTCTACCTCCACAATCCAAATTCATTCCTAAGGAAATGTCACAAGAAACAAAGATGAAGGAATATCATAGCATAGAACCATATTCTAATGACCAAACTAACGAGGCACAGGCATCTTGTGGCCAGAAAATAAAGAGATAAACTAAAAGCCTAAAAAATAAGAAAGGATGTGCAAAAAGAGGAATTCCTACCATGTTTTACCATATCTTGTAAAAATTTTAAGAAAGTGGGCTACTATTGTCCACGATTCCATTATGCACTTGATCATGAGAATGTGGAAAAGGTTTTAATGCCAGCTGCCAACCTGATGCAACTCCCTCCTTTATTTGGGCTTGGGACCAGTGGTGTAAGACAAGCTCACATTGGTAGAGTTAAATTATGTACTTGACCAATACATCAAAAGCCTTTAAGACTGTTGGAAGGTGTCAGGATGAGCTGTTTAACCTTTAGGATCATAACATACCATCATGCTTCCAGAACCAAAATCTTGGTGGTTCTCACTTTGGAGGCAGGTAGCTCTTTCCCTCTTGCAGCTCTCACTCTGTTCCAGGTGGCCCTTCTCCCAAGTAACCATTTCTATGATTCAAACCTAGGACATGGGGTAGGCTCTAATACCAATTGTTACATACTTGACCAATATGCTAAAGGCCTCAAGATTATTGGGGGACAATTTAAGCCATTCCAGTGGTTTAGGATTAAATCTCATAAAAATTAATAGAATAATTTTTTTCCAGTTTTTTATGGGGAACAATGATGTCCCAGGGCATACTGTTACACTTCCTGAGTCCTTACCAATAACATGAAATTGAACTGATAAATTTTACAAACCTAGCCTAAACAAATATTCTTGGCACAGTCACCTAGTGAATTCTAGAAATCCTCATCTTCCCAAATTGCTCTCTGCGGCACGAAAAGAATTTAGCTGGAGTTGCAGGGACAATCCAAAATGGGTTCTGTGTCCATGTAAAGCTTTCAATCATAATTGTATACTCCTAGTTCTGACTAACCATATATTGGACTTATTGGATAGCACCATTCATAGGAAACCAAATTTTACATGAAACAATACAACAGTCCAACTTCAGTACTCCTTTTAATGGTAAAATTCACCCCCCCCCCTCCCCCCAAAAAAAGGAAAGAAAGAAAGAAAGGTTTCCCCTAACATCTGTAGAGGTTATAATACCTCCAAACTGTTTATCACATAGGATCTATATTTGGCTAACATTTCTCTTATGTCATGTCGCTTCTTCTTCATCGAAGTGCTCAGTCTATTTATCACATTACATCATGATTAAAATTTAAGATCTATATTTGGCTAACACTTCTCTTATTTCATGTTGCTTCTTCTTCATTGAATTAATCAGTTTATTTATCACATTACATCATGTCTACTTCAAGACATTTATTATATCAAAATAGAATTTTATTTCAAATATGTGTGTTTGATATGGTTCTCTACCGCATAACCAAAGCAACTAGGAGAATTCAGAAATTATCACAGCGAAGCAATCAGTGCGCACTACCTTCGCTAAGGAAAGCAATGCTTTCTCCTCGAGTTCATCAATTGGAACACTCTTACGAGCCGCCTCCTGACGAATTGGATCTTCATACTACATCAATCATACCCACATGGCCACATAAAGGCCGTTAAATTCTCAGAAGAAAAATATAACATAAAAAAATAAGAATCAAATTCATAGGCACCATGAAATTAAGATTACCATAAGAACTTGCGTCAAGTGAGGCCGAATCCTCTCCTCGAACTCTTTCCCACTATTGCCGGCACGAAATTGCTGGTAAAAGAGGGCTTCCTCCTCCGCCTAACAACAAGAAAAATCCAAAATCATCAAATTGACCTATAACCAAACACCCTTTCCTCAATGATTCTATCTTATTCTAAGAGCTCCATCACAATGTACTTGCCTGCAACATCCGAGCCAATTCCTCATCTGATTTCGTTAATGAATTGCCCTCCGTCACAGCCGGTGCCGATGAACTTTCTTCCCGTTCAGTGATCGATACTACTCGAAGCTTATCAGTAACTGAATTGAGATCGGAATCTCCAATTATGAGCAAATTCTCGCCTCCATAGATCTTTTCGGGATTCAGAAACAATTGTCATGATCATCAATGAAGAACAAAACCACGGTGAGAGATGAGAGAAGGGAAGTTTCAAATAAAAATAAAATTTTAAACCTTTTGTTCGTCGGGTGGTATTGAGGTAAGAGAGAAAATCTGGAATTTGAAAACCTACAAAAAAAAAAAAAAAAAAAACAGAACAAAGTGAGTTTCAGAGAGAGGGAGAAAGAGGCTACAGAGAATGAGAGAATTGTAAGACAGAGACTTCGAAGCCATCGTCAGTATCGTAGTCGACGTCGAAGTCAGAGCCATCATGTTGAACAAGGAACTTGCGAGCTACCATTTTTCTTGCGTGTTGTTTGGTTTGGTCGGAGTCGGATTCTTGGGCGTTTCATTCCTTTCATTTGCCGCTTCTTATGTACGTTGACGTCTAGTCTCCGACGACTTTTGTAAAAGAAAGATCAAATTACATTTTGCCACCCATCTTTCAAAATATTACATATTACCGCTCTACTTTGGGGCTAAAGACAGTTAGCCCCGGAATTTTTGCTTGTGACAATGACTCGCTGCTTTTAGATTCCAACACTTCTGTCACTACCGTGTAAACAATAAAGGTAAAATTACTAAGCATGTTAAAGCATGGCATCTCTTGTTATATTTTAGTTTTTTCTGAAATTTTAATGTTTCCGTTTTACTCTTTTCTCTTTATTTTTCTCTAATACTTTATTGTATTTTCAGTATTTTTCTTTTTTATATGTTTTTTATTTCTTATTTTTCTTCATTTTTGTTGTATTTCCTATGTATTTTACAATTTCCTGTTCTTCTTTTATTTTTCATTTTTATTGTATTTTATCATTTTTTACAAATTGGTTTCATAAGATGATATAAGAGCAGTTACGGGGTTTTAAAAACTTTTAAATGCACACACGTGATAGTCGTATGAAAATCTTTGGAGGGCACGGAGGCGAGTCAGAATCCGCTCGTTCACAAAGAATGTCTCAGAATGACCTCACAGCCTGTCCTAACCGCACATCAGAACATCTCGGATATTTGTATTTAGAGAAAATTCTAGATTATTACCTTTACTTTGGCTCGAGAGATCATTTGATCCCCGAGCTTTAAAATGTAACAATCCAATACTCAAATTTTCACAATGTAATAATGTAGTGCCTACCGTTAACCACAAATTAAGTAGCATATCAAAATACACAAATGTCCTTCGGATGTTATCTAATTTTCTTCATCAACTATCCGTTCAAATCAGAACCAAGTGTCAAACTTTTTATCCCTTTTAATTTTTCCATCTAAAATCAAATCTTGGCCTCCACCATCAAATTTTGTATCTCCTCTTAGCAGTTTCTTCACCTTTGTCTCATCTTTAATACTACTTGAGTTAGCCTGAAGAGTCCTCTTCATCGATTGATCTCTTTGGACGATCATCACTCCCTTCTTAATATGTCAACAAACGGATTCTTTTTTAGATCCTGCAACATAGAATGATTACCAAATTCCAAGAATACAAAGTTGATTCGCATAAGGTTTTGTTTACTTATTTAATAGTGAGATAGACCACCATAATTTGAAGCTCCTATCCCATGGCATATTTCTGTGTCCAAGAACGGGCAGTTGCCTCATACTTTGCTCTACTACTCTCGTACATGTGGGCAATCTCAGGAACCATGGGATCGTCTGAGTTTGAATCAGTTAGCAGAGTGCAAATTGACAACAACATTGTGGAAATTGTGAGGGCAAGATTCCATTGCTCTTTCAGAATGTCAATACAAATTCTCTCATTATTGTTGATGTTAGGATGGAAAACTTTGGTGCAGAAAGAAACCTTTGGCGGCTTGAACGAGTAATCTGGTGGAAAATGAATGGTTACTAGAAACACACCACAGCAAAGGGATTGTCCAATGATTGTTGTTTGCTAGTGGAACATGTCTTCTGCCACAAGACCAGCACTGCAAGCGATGGGAGGATCTTTCCGCAGATCCTTCAGCCCCTTTTGAATATGTTTTGAAGCCATTGATGATTATAAAATCTCCAAAGAAAGAAACAAGGTTAACACTAAGTGGAGACAATTTTAGCGTACACTAGGGCTCTTCCCCTTTTTCTGTTTATCAGTCCTTTGTTCTTCTCATGAGGGTTTATAGGGAGAGAACAAGTGCATTGCACATTTGCACTGCTAGGGTTTTCATGGAGAGATCAAGTGGAGTATCCGATAGTTTTCCAGAACTTAGATTAAGAGCTGCTCCAGGAATCCACCTTGATCTCATAAGGGAGGGAGTAGAAATCTATGCAAGTATGGACATTTGTTTGGAATTTACACGGTTTTCTTTTTCTTCTCCACTTTTTCATTTGAATGTTCTAGATGCACAAAACTTACCTCTTTTTCATCTTTTTGAAGAAGAAGATGATGAACAGTATTTTATTTTCAAGGGGTAATTTTGACATTTTCAAAAGTCTTAAGTAGCACATGATATCATGTGATACACATAACTGATGGTTGGTTAACGGTAGGTACTAAATTGTCACGTTTCAAAAGTTTGGGTACTAGATTGTCGCATTTTAAAGTTTGGGGACCAAATTGTTACTCGAGGCAAAGTACAGGGTACTAATCTAGAATTTTCCCTTGTATTTATTAATCATAGCAGATATTCTCAATTCATAGTGGGATGTGGGTGTGAGGTTGGTGTGAGGCGTGCTCAATGAGAACAGATCCCAATTCCACAGAGGCCTAAAACTTCAAAATGGGTTTTATTACAAATAAATCTATAATTCTAAGGGGCAATATCCAAAACAAGAGTTCATCTTATCTGAATTTGAAGGTCTCAAGAGAGTTCACATTAGTGCCCCACACGGAGGCGCCCCACAATGTCCACAATATATCTTGACCTTGTATTGGGAACATCTCCCGATGACAAGTATGGGAGATGTGAAACATCAATAGGAAATGTTCCCAATACAAGGTCAAGATGTACGGTGGGGCACTGTGGGGCGCTGATGTGAAGGAACAGATTTGCTCCTCACACATGGGCGCCTTACAGGCATATCCACCGTGCATTGGGAACATCTCCCATGAATAATAACTTATAAGTATAGGAAATGTTCTCAATGCATGATAGGATGTGCGTATGAGACACCCTGTGTGAGGAGCAAATTCGGTCTCCTGATGTGAACTAGTCTCGAAAATAGGCTTCCAACAAGGAAGTAGTATTGGAATGTGCATATTCAATTTTGCTCTTTTGCAATTAAAGTAAAAAAAAAAAAGAGAGTTTTACCAATCAGGAAGTCCATACAGAGAATATACAACCTTGTGATATGATATGTCATATGTGTTTTCTAAGGAGTCCCACTCCATGGAAGATTGGAGCTTCTTCTTGGTGAAATAACGTTACCAAATAAAAGAATTATGGTGAGATATGTTTTATTTCTTTTGATGATAAAATAAATATCACTAACCATCAAAAATTATATAAAAGGTTCAAACCCATAAAAAGACCATTCCATATCTACTACCCACAAATTGCACAAATTGTTCCCATATCCCAACCCACAAAACACTAATACCGTGTATTGGGATCATTTCCCCATGAAAGACAAGAAAGATATTTCCAATACGCAGCTATAATGTCTAGTGGGTAGAGATTTGGGAAAAACTCACGAGTAGAAGATTCAAGCCCTGAAAAGGCATAACACTTATTTATTTAACTTTTTCAGCTATGGCATTTAAGGTACAAAGTATCAAAAACGTCAAGTGTATCGCAAAGGCAATTCTAAGAGATGTATCGGGATATGCCTTAAATACATACACGTATTGGAGAAAAATTAAGATACGCATATATATGCATTGAAACACTATAAACGTTTCAATAAATCATAAATAATACTAAGTATAAGGCTTTAATGAAGTGTAAATACATTAAATTAATATATTTTAATGGTTTAATGAAGAAACCCATTGTAGTCAATTATAATTTCATGAAAAAACCATATGCTTAGCTATAATTTATAAATTATAATTCTTAATTTTTAAGGGATGGGAAAACCCAATAATCCTATCCAACCACAAAACATGCATTGGCACAACTTCTAAGTGAAAATATAATTAATAATTATTTCTTACTTAAATAATTACTATTTATTTTAATTTTCAAAAATTGCAAAAAGAAAAATAAATAAATATTGTAAAATATATTCAAAAAATAATTATTGGAGAAGAAATTTCAATTGCTTTATGGATATGGTTGATCATCCATAAATCTATAATATATTAAATCCTTGTAATTAGATCATAAAATATAATTAATTATTAATTGTTTTTTAATTCTAAAAATATAAAAAAATCAAAAAAAATATTGAAGAAGAAATTTCAATTGCTCTATGGATTTGATATATAATCCATAGATCTAAAACACATTAAATCTTTATAGGCAGATAAAAAAAATACATTTTCATTTTTTTTGTTATTTTATATTTTTCTAAAATCTTCGTCATAAAATTTCCATAGATCTACTCATAATACAAAAAATGTGATTTTGAATATAAAAATGTAGATCAACATAGATTTAAACATTTTCAAGCATTCAAGTAAAAAATTACAAGATATTATGAAAAATCGAAAAAACTTACCTATTTTTCAATGTTTTTGAAAACTTGAAAAAAACTTCCAAAATATTGATTATTCACACTTATTTTTTGCGTTTTTTTTTCATATCCAGCATTATGAATGAGTTTTGGAGTTTTAGAATCATTTGGAGTGAAAGAAGTCTTATTTTTGGCAAAAGAAACTTCCTCCCCGCCTCCATTTTTTTTGTTTTTTGTCTGTATCTTTTTTTCATAGCGTATTGACCGATACACCCCTGATATGGCTCCATATGGATCCAACATGGTGGGAAAATATGATATCACAAAGTTTTTCACTGTATCTCATATCAAACATTAAAAGATATGATACAATACGCCCTGTATTGGATGTATTGTATCGAAATTTGAAACATTGATGGCATGGACTGCCATGAAATAAGGAAGCAGTATATAAGCAAAGTGAACAAAATTAAAGGAATTCTTAGCACCATTAACCATTTCGACCGATGTACTCAAGACCCAACGAATAGACCCTTTTCATTGATGATGTTTTAGTCTAAAGATAGAAACCATTTACAATGGGCACACTATTTTTCATAAAACTAAGATAACTAAACCTCATCATCTCTCACATTACACAATTCAAAATTAACCCAAGCAAAAATGTCCCCCTAAACTCTAAACTATAGTTTACATTACCAGTTGTGTATGCATGGCTTTACAAGAAATAAAAAGCCCATATAATTGATGAATTCTTAGTTTAATAAAGTATTTATAAACCATTACTCCTAAAATTGATTTAGCTAAACCTCATCTATACAAGCTACGGGTATACAT